AGTAACGTAGAAACAAGACTGTTCGTATATCAGGACAAAGCCGTGAATGTTCCGACTACAGTTAAGCCCAACTGAAATTTTTTTTTGATTGAATAAGTGACTAAACGATTGAGAAAAAGAAGACTTTTTTCCAATTTTTCTTCATTTTATGCCCACACACGCTATGTGAAACACTAATTGAATTTGGAATGCAACAACTCGTTTCCTACGCGTGTTATAATGCGAAACATTTTGCACAAATTGGCCAAATTAGCAACTTTCAAACGCCCGTAACTTCACAAAAGTGATCACAATTGAAAAAATCTTTCGAAATTTTTTGTCAGAATTTTGTCAAAACGCTTTTTGAACAAGTCGAAAATTGACTGAATAGAAAACCACACGAAGCATAGATATTCGACAACTTCTTCAAAAGCCGGAACAATTATGACAAAAGCCTGTTTCAACCAATTTGGAACGATTTCGAAAACGGATTAAATCTCCGCTTACTCGTTAATAGCGCGAAGTATATCGCGCTTTAATTGTCCCAAATTGGCCAAAATGGCAATCTTTAAACCCCCATAACTTAACAAAATAGGGTTACAATGAAACAACTTTTACAATTCAAGCTCAAAACAGCAATACACTTTGAAAGATTAAAAAAATCCCTTCAAAAATGGCTAATTAAAAAGTCAAAGTTTGTCCGAAGAAAAAAATCCAACCGAGCACAATTATTCCGTTACTTTCGCTACGAAAGTCGGAACAACACTAAAAAGTCCCCATATCCATTTTTCCTTCAGTCGTACAACGTGAACACATGTGTTATCTGTAAGAACTTGCAACGGGGGTGAAAAGAAACAGTATGTGAGGAAAAAGGTCTTTTATTCTATAACGTAATTAAAAAAGGCAGTTTAACAATTTTAAGGTTGCCTCTTCTTTCAGTGATTTTACGCCTCCTTTTTCTCAAGGCAATTTCAAGTTGTTTTAAGTTCGTCGATCCTGCAAACTCATGCGCGTACTCAGATCTAATATCGGATCTCGGAAAAAGAGGGGGAGTAAAAACATGTTCTAGCATACCCTACGGTTTGTGTTACCCGACACATATTTGAAGTTTGAAGACTGAATTAATTAATGAGCACATGTAACTAACAAGCATCAGTCATGAGATACTCACAGGGATTGAGCTCACGGGCCCTAAGGCCCCTCAATGAGACGTCCCATAAAATAGACTTTTACAGAATAAGTTGAGGAGGAAGAAAAGGCAGGAATTAGATCAATTGTCAAATATTAGGCAAGGAGTCCAAAATTATCTGTGACAAATTTACGTTTAGTGTTTTGTAAATATGAGTTCAATTGAAATTTTGACATAGCTTTCAAGTTCTCTGCAAAAAGACTATTAGCCGAAAAAAATAGTAAAACTTGAGAACTTTAACGCTAAACGATTGTGATAAGCAGTTAGATCTAACAAAATTTGAAGGTAACACTCTCAAGCTGCGGCCACGCGTTTGTTTACAGTTATTTAGATAATAAAAATCCAAAAACTTAAATGGCGATTTACGAATTATTTGATAAATAACTTCTTTAAAAACAGTATCTAAATATAATTCAAAAAGGTATCAATATTGTATTCTGAATACTTTCACGTAATCTGCATTGAAAGAATTTTTTAAAATTTGTCCTGAACGCTTATCCATAAACTAGGATGCCGCTTGATATTAAAGGTTTTGCATAAATTTGATAAAATCAAAGAATAAATGTCCTAGACAGAACATTTCTTGCTTTATAAAAAATTCCATTAAATTTAGCTAACTTTTTACAAACTTGATCTATGTGTTGTTTGAAAAACAGCTTATTATCTACCACATCCCCAAAATACTTGAAGGAGCTCACAACATTAAATTTCTGATTCCCCAAAAATATTTCAGATTATTTTGAACTCCTTCCGAATTTGGATACTTGCGTTCTGTCAATACTGATAGTTGGTCTATTATTTGTGCACCAATTTTCAATCGATTTAAGGTCCTGATTAAAATTTTCATCAATCAAATTGTTTTTACACGTAGTAAGAATTGTTGTATCATCAGCAAACAGACTTTCCGTTACTTTGTTAGGCATATCGTTAGTGTAGAGAAAAAACATCAGTGTATCTAAGACAGATCCTTGGGGAACAGCAAACGTAATATTCTTTAATTGAGAACTTTTCCACAAAAAGCTACATACTGCTTGAAGTTGGTTAAATAAGACTGCAGAAAAGTGTTTGTTATACCACGGAATCCGTAGAGATATAATTTTGTTAGCAAAATGCGGTGATCAATTGTGTCAAAAGCCTTTTTTAAGATCTACAAAACCCGCTAATCCTGATTCTTTTAAATCATCTATACAGTGACGCATTATTTCGATTGCAGAAGTTATTGCATGCACTCGAGAATGTCTGCGCCGGAACCCAAACTGCTCAGGCACCAAAAGCGAATGTGTTTTATTTTTTCAAAAATGTTACTGAACAGATGTCCGCGTTTCGACCCACCCTGAGACCGTCGAATCAAGTCTTAAGTCAACGCAAAGTAGATATGTGGATCGAAAAATGTCAACTCATGTGTGAAAAAAGGGCCGAATGAATGGTATAAAGGGTCAAACGTTTGGTCAAACGGGTGAAAAATTTTGAAATATGTCATTTTGCTCTATTGGAACAATAAGCAGAGGTTCAGCTCAATCAAATACCTCCATCAGTTTTCACATTGAGTGTTAATCAAATTTGAGATTTTGTTCAGGAGTGGATTCAGGTGGTGGGAGAGCGGACACCCCCCTCTTGAATTCAACTCCCTCAGCAACCAGAGGTATCCCCTTTGGTATAATTTTATGGCATCCATTCTTGGCCAACCAACCTTAAAATAATTCTAAGGGCGCCTTCGGCGCGAATACTTACTTATTTTGAAGGGGAGCTCGCAACGAAAAAACGCTATTTATAACTAACTAACTTTAAAATATTTCAAAAGACGCTTTCGGCGCCAATACATACTAATTTTGAAGGAAAGCGAGCGCCGAAAAAACTCAATGCCCAAAAACAGCATTTTTGACCCGTTTTTTCAAAATTTACCTACGGCGAAAACATTTTTGTCAAATTAACGTTTTGTTTTTTATAGAGATATAGAAGTGCTCGGAAAATCAATTTGTTCGACCTAAAATTAAAAAAGACTGACAAAAATTAATTGATCAAGGGTTTCCGCGCTAAAAATTTTTTTCAGAATATTTGTGACAAATATGGCTTGAAAATGTCAAATTTCAAAATGCTGTTATAGAAAAATCTGATTTTTGCGATATTTCAGGAATCTAGAAAAAGTCAATGATGTTTGATCATATCGATCGAATTCAAGCGATGTTCAAAAAAGTCAACCAATTTCGAGTATGGTCGTAAGCGGACATCGCTCGATCGCTCGACGCAAAAAATTGAAAGCTGACACGGCTCAACCGCTTTAGTAGAATCATGTTTTGTGCAACTCAGTTTTGATCTGTAAATATTGCAAAAAAAGCAGTTTTTGTGCATTAAAGCTCAAAAAACTTCAGTGACTTTCTTTAGTCTAAATAAGATTTGTCTATTCTAGAAAACGCATGTCAAAAAATTTTACAAATTATTTTTTTTGTCGATATTGTAGAATAATCTTTATGAAAAAAACGCTTAGAACATCGCAGTAGATGATATGCTAGATTGCTTGCTTTCTTCATCAAAGATCTCGGCAAATTACACTTCAAAAAAGCGAATTTTTTTTTAGAAATAATGTGGTTACTACTTGATAGCGGTTGAGAACTGCTGTGTAATCTAATACTTGTATTGGTCTATTACTAATATTGCTGCTTGAATCTAATATTAAGACTACAAATGATTGAGATAGCCTCAGTCGATATTTTTTTAATAGCTAACTTTTAAAACATTTTTATTTCGTGTTCATTTCTTCTCTTTTGTTTTTGCTCTACAATTAGTAAGACTGGCTAAATTAGCAAGCCCATTTTATAAGGGAACTTTGAAGAAAAAGTGCATACAAAGACTCAGGTGCATACAAAGACAACTTGTCTTATTATTCTCGTCTGTTCTAACATATAAAGTAGTATTTTGAGGCGAGGAGCGATAGTGTAATTTTTCATCAAGTATTAACTATCAATTAATAAAATAGACTCTCAAATTCACTCAGAATTTTTCTTAAGAGTACGAAATTATTTGTGGAAGAGGTAAATAGATATGCAGCAGAAGTCAGCAGAAGAATCAGAATAACACTGGTGAAAAAAAAAACAACCACTGGCAGTACCTACCCGTTCGATTCTTCGGAGCAGGACGTCATAAGTTAACATCTAATCTGAAAAACGGTTAAGATCATGAACGCTCAATCCAAAATAATAAGTAACGTTATTCTAGTTTGCTGTTTAACCCAATTTATACTCACTTCTATTTTAGCTTCATTTTATATCTCTTTTTAATTAATCCATAAAACCGTACAGTCTTAGTTGGTAAGTATCCAGACTGAAATATAGGTGTATAGAATAGGTCGCAATTAAGATAGACTACTGTAAATAAAGGATTGGCACAGACCATCGCCTACTCTTTGTATTCATCAGTGCAACATTATAGTTAAAGTTTATCACAGTTGTTGTTCTGACCAAGTTACTTTTATCTGATTGCCCACCTTTGCTGTCTCTTTTCGCGTTGTAAGTTGTAAATTGCATTTTAAATTTTTTTTCGCGTTGAATTAACTTGTTGGTCACAAATCAAACCTATATAAAAACAATAGAATCAAATTCAAAAAAAAAGGTAGCGTGCGAATAGATAGAGATAGAAAAAAGATTTTGTATACGTAGATATTGCAAAAAGAAGTAAAACATTCAAAATCTACATGTAATCTGAATGCAGAAAAATCATAAAGGTTTTCAATTGAAAACGTCATGAGTTTGGTATGTAACAAAAAAAATGCGGAGTTTCAGAGTTCGTCGAAGACTGCTAGTCTCACAGTTTTTAAGTTTTTTGTACTTATAACCTAAAACTTATTAAATAGTTTCAGGTTAAATGATTTGCGGGGTAGCCGTGGTGACCCCTTTTTCATGGTTGTGATTATTGGAGCGAGCTCATTACATCTGGCACTTGAAGATTGGGCATCAGTAGGAGGAAACGAGGAGCTGCAAGAAGACGTCATCCATTAGAAGGGAGTAACGTTTCATCCCAAATCGAAATCGAATAAAATTGTACGAAAAATCTTGAGAGACGAAATTAATAGAAACGAGTCTGTAATTATCTGGCACGACGTAATAAACAATTCGATTTCAAAACATCCATTCAATCCAAGGACTCCCCTTACTGCCAATCAACAAGTATCAGAAATCAAACCCCTAATCAATTCGCATCCTCGAATTGAAGGCCTTGTCTATTGTCCGAGAGACGGTGCACCCTATATTCTTGAAGATCTAAAGAAACTTCCGATACCAGTTGTTCAAGTTACAACAGACATAATTTCGAATTCGAAACAACAGGACAAAGATCTACTTGAAGGATACAGAGAACTGCATCAGGAAACCGCACTTGAAATCAAAATTTTAGCTATAATACGAAACAACAATAGCAACTTGAGTGATATCATAAAGAAGAAAAAGAAACCGTCAAAAAAACAACGAGAAGCACGAAGGAAACGAGAACAGAAATAAAACATGAGTTTAAATTTCAATTCGTGACGGGACTGGTCTTAATTGTCCAGGCTTGGATCAAATTTAAATTTCAATTCGTGACGGGACTGGGCTTAATTGTCCAGGCTTGGATCAAATTTAAATTTCAATTCGTGACGGGACTGGGCTTAATTGTTCAGGCTTGGATCAAATTGTAAATAAATTTTCTCTATCCCATTTTCTCCTTCTCTCTGTATCCACCAATATGACTAAAAATTGCAAAACGTGCAAAAAACCCATAAATGCCAGGGACAGATGTTTCAGTTGTGTATCTTGCAATGCTCAAATGCATCTTGAGAGCACCTGCACTGGTCTTACTAACACCGCCATCAAGGGCATAAAAGACTTGGGTTTAAACGCAATGCTTCTATGCGACACATGTGTAACTAATAACGAAAGAGATAACTTCATAAAGTGTAGGACCATGATGCAAATGAACGAGAAAATTGAAAAAGAGAGTGAGGGAATAGTGAAGCACGTCTTGAAAATATGGAAAAAAGGCTGACGGCATTGGTTGATGAAAAAGTCGAAAACGCTACAAAAACCACATGCGAAAAATTGGAAAAAAGCTATGCAGATGTACTCAGTGTGAAACCTGTTAAAGATGTGAAAGCTCAACCAGGAGCTGGAAAAGAAGTAAAACAAGAAATACATCATAATATCAATAAAAGCTTCCGTATACAGGGGATCAGAGAAGATCCCGAGAAATCAAAAGGCGAAGATTTTGTCCCCACAACCGAAAAAGTACATGAGGTACAAAAAAAGTTAGGAGCTAAACCACAAATTGAAGGAATAAAAAGGCTAGGGAAATTCAGCAAAGAGCGCATCAAGTCAAGAACCTTATTAATAACTCTGTCAACGGAACATGAAGCACGATTGGTGCTGGCAAAGAGCTTCGAAAAAAGAGATGAGCTGCGAGATGAGGAAATTTACCTTCTGCCAGCATTATCGAAAGATGATGCGAGGAAGGAAAACCTATGCTTAAAAAGACGAAGAGAACTTCTAGACGAAGGAGTCCCAAAGGAGAAAATCAAAATCAGGAATTTCGAGCTGTTCAATGATGGGAAAAAAGAGATGATAGAAGCAGAACAAGCAGATGATGCTTGACTAGGCTTTCTCAACATCCTGCAAATGAATGTAAGAAGTCTCATAAATCTCGAACGACGAATGAAGTTTGCAAATGCTATAGCAACATCAAACTATGACATAATATGTCTCTGCGAGACTTGGTTAAATGAAAACATTGCATCATCTGAACTAATGCTAAATGAATACAGTATTTATAGATCAGAACGACAAACAGCCAAAGATCAAAATTTGCATGGTGGAGTACTAATGGCAGTGAAACAAACATTTTCATCTAAATTATTGCCAAATAAGCAAACTGAATGTTGTTTAACTTGCAGCATCCAAATAAACGATAAGCGAATTATTGTCTGCTGTTTTTACAATCCACCTTCGAGCAGCAAATATCGCTATTGTCTAGGCGATTTCGCACAAATATTAAATGAAGTTGAGAAATCAAATCAATCAACTGCAACAATTATTTGCGGAGATGTAAATTTTCCAAATGCAAACTGGATTGACTATAGTAGCACGGAAAATTAAGAAAACTCAATAATTGAACTAATCGAGCAACATCAGTTCGAGCAGGCAATAGATTTTCCAACTTGTGGCAAAAACACCCTAGACATTACATTATTCAAAAATTGTCACATTCATGCGATTCCTGACGAAAATTTCTCAAAAATTTACAATTGCTCCGACCACAAAGCAATCAGCATTCTAATTGAATGTCCTCACCATGAGGTAAAAGTCGCTATTGAAAACTTTCGAAGCTTCGGTAGCGTGGACTATAACGATATCAAGAAATCAATACTAAGTGAGCCTTTCTCACCAGTATGTCACACAAACATCAACAGAATGTGCGAGGAACTTTACGACTATTTGGAAAATTTGGTAAACCAACATGTGCCTAGAAGAACGAGACGTCGCCAATCACTTCTGCCATGGGTTACGCCAAGTACCTTAAACCTCATGAATAAACTGCGAACACAAACTAGAATATACAAATTGAAACCTACAAGCTACCCCAGAAATCTCATTCTATCTCTAAATAAAATGGTGGAAGAAGCAGTAGAGGAAGATAGAGTAAACTATCAGGAAAATTTGAAGTCCACTCGTAACACACATTTAATTTTCAAACACTTTAAGAGTCTGAAAAAATCAGAAACTCTCCCAAAGACTATGATCAAGGACGAAATAGCTGTTACCAAAGCCAAAGAAAAAGTGAACTTTTTGAATGAATATTTTCACTCTGTCTTTTCGCCCAAATCAAGCTTCAACCTCAGTGATATGAAGTGCGAAAACACGATATTGAGTAACTTCAGTATCTCAAAAACATATTTGAACCAAATTATAACAGAGCTGGACATAACAAAATCGCGGGGCCCAGATGGATTCCCACCAATTTTCTTCCCGCGAACGGCCAGAGAAATGACCACAGTTTTGCATTGCGTTTTTAAAAACATCAAGAGGGTAAGGAAAATACCAGATAAAGGGAAAGTTGCGGCTGTGTCGCCTATTTACAAGAAAGGTGACAAACGACTAATGGAAACTACCGGCCGGTGTCACTCCTAAATATCATGAGTAAACTCCTGGAAAAATGCATGTATCCAGCGTTGTATGACCATTTCATTAAATTTCTCACAAGAAGTCAGCACGGTTTTGTTAAAAACCGTTCAGTTGTTACAAACATGTTATCTTTCTTGAAACAAATCCACGAAGCTCTTGAAAAGAACGCTGAAAACCATGTGATCGCATTCTATACCGACTTCTCTAAGGCATTCGACAAAGTCCCACATTATGAACTACTAAAGAAAATGAGCAACATTGGAGTTGGAGGCTGTTTCCTTGAAATAATCGCAGACTATCTCAGCAATAGGAAACAATTTGTTCGTGCTGACAATTTCTCATCAGAAACTTTAGAAATTACAAGCGGCGTACCACAAGGATCGTTGATTGGTCCATTATTCTTCTGTATCTTCATAAATGATCTTCCTGAAGTATTGAAATTTAGTGACCCATTTATCTTTGCAGACGACCTAAAATTACTAGCAGTGAATGTAGACACAAAGGACATCCAGCAGGACCTTAAAAGCGTTAAAAACTGGGTAGACAAAAACAAGATGAGTCTGGCACTGGACAAATGTTTTAAAGTCGAATTCAGAGGAAATCAACACGAATTCATTCTTTGTGAAACAGCAGTGGAAAGCTCGAATGTGATAAAGGATCTAGGAATACATGTGTCCAAACATTATACATGGACAACCCATATTGACTCAAGAATGTCGAAAGCGAATAAAACGTTCTATTGCATCCGTAGAATTCAAAGTCAAAATGCGCATAAAACTTGGTCTGTACAAATCCTTAATACTTCCTGTTCTAACGTATGGTCTAATTATTTGCAATATCTCGAGAAGCGACTTAGGGAGATTAGAAAGGTTCCAAAAGAAAGTCTTAAAATGGATCACGGGAAACGATTTTGACTATACAGAGCAGCTGAGATTGTTAAACATCCTGCCTCTTGCGTTGTTTCTCCAGCTGAACGAGTTACTGATGATGGCGAAATTCATGCATGAAGAAAACGATCACATTATGCTCCCAGCAAAAATTGAAAATCTAGGAAGAACGAAAGAAATGTTCAACCTAAACAAGACCAGAACTGAAAAAGCTAGAGGAGAGTTTACATTCAGGACGTGCCGTCTAATAAACCGACTAAATCAGAAAATTGAATTTCGAGAAATGCGAGGCTTAAAGCGAATGTTGATACAGACGATGTGGAAGTTTTTCGACGATCAATTCTCAGAACAAAACAAGTGCACATAGGTCCTCTTCTGTGACTGCAACATGTGCCGAAATAACTGGACAAAATTTTGAGAACTTTGGGGATATCATCCCATCAGTATCCTACTGAAAATTCACAACAACAACAACAACAACAAAAGTCGCAAGACATGCAATTTATATCAGCCGAGGTGGGTTCTACTTTACAAGAATTTTTTTCTCGGTTCTTCATTTTTAATTTAAGACAAAATGGTAAGTTTTTTCGTATTGATTGAGCAAGTTGGTTACAAATCGAAAAAAATCGAAAAAAGAAGTAGCGTGCGTGCGAACAAATAGAAATAAAAAATGATTTCTTAATGTAAAAAGTCGCAAAAAGAAGTAAAACCTTTGAAACTTACATTAAAATTATAAAAGTTTTTGATTAAAAGTAACATGAGTTTGGTATGTTAACGAAAACAGAATTAATGTGGGTTTTTTATAGTTTATCGAAG